TTAAGCAATATCAAAAAGTATCAGTAATCTCACCATGTCATATCATTTTAAATTAATCTTAGAGTGTTACTATGGAGACAGGCAGTTACTGCTTTGTATAATCACCAAAGACTCGACTCCCCCTCCTCTTTCCTTCCCTCCCCCTCCCTTTCCTCTGCCCTCCCCCTCCCCATTCCTCTCCCTCTTCCCTCCCCAGGACAAGGTAGTCACAGGTCCCCTTTCCAGTGTAAATAGTGTAAATAAATTTGTTTGTTATCTTTAAGTGTCTCGAAGGATTGTCTCGCTCTTTTGAGGTCATAAGTAAAGATGGGCTGGGAAGTTTACAACCTCATTCAAAGTGAGTTTCTTCCAATCAAATACTTTGTATTTCCATTATGTATGTATTTGATCAGAAATGTGCTTTGATTAATATTAATGTTCTGATTGCTGTCATAATCTGCCTCTGAAAATGGACTTCTTATCCATTGCCAGCTCCCTTTCTCTGGGTTCTGACTGCATTGCTCATTGTCTTGCTTCCCAGGGCTCTGGGAAAGCATCATCATGAGAGTGATCAGCATAATTTGGATCTTCTCTTACCCTGATCTGCCAAAAAAGTGCAACTATTCTCTGTAGTATATTTTCCCTTAGTGCATACAGGCATGATCAAAGGCTGACAGTCTAACGACTTTGCTGGAGATAAGTTCTATCAGTGTTGGCTGTCATGTATGACATGCTATTGAGTGAGTACTGTGCTATACCTCTGACAGCCACATGAAGGCACCTTTCACAGATTATGGACAGAGTCCATCTATACCTCATCACCTCAAAGGGAATGTAAGGTTGGACAAATGGGATTGCATGAAGTTGCAGAGCTTCTGCATGGCAAAGGACATAGTTAGCAAGATCAATAGAAAACCCACAGATTGGGAGAACATTTTCACTAGTCATACAACGGACAAGGGTCTCATATCTAAAATATACTTGGAACTCAAAAAATTAAATCCCCCAACAACAAATCCTCAAAGAAACAACTGCCCAATAAATAAGTGGGCTAAAGAGGAAGAAAGAAGGATGGCCAATAGATACATGAAGAAATGCTCAACCTCCCTAGCCATAAAAGAAATGCAAATCAAAACAACATTAAGATACTACCTCACCCCAGTTAGAATGGCAGAAATCAAGAACTTTAATAACAACAGATGCTGGAGGGGATGTGGACAGAAGGGAACCTTACTTCATTGATTGTGGGAGTGTAAACTTGTTCAACCACTTTGGAAAACAGTATGGAGGTTCCTCAAAAGACTTCACATAGAGCTCCCCTATGACCCAGCAATCCCACTTTTGGGCATTTACCCAAATGTTTACAAACAAGACTACACTAAAGCTACCAGCACAACTATGTTTATTGCAGCATTATTTACTATAGCTAAGATATGGAACCAACCCAGATGCCCCTCAGTAGATGAATGGATCAAGAAAATGTGGTATATATACACAATGGAATTCTATGCCTCCATCAGAAAGAATGACATTGCCCCATTTGTTAGGAAATGGAAAGACTTGGACAAAATTATATTAAGGGAAGTAAGCCAGGCCCAAAGAAACATAGGTCCCATGGTTTCCCTTACTTGCAATATCTAGTATATGTATGAGTCAAGCAGAAAAGGTCAGATAATGTGATGTTAGGAAAATGAACCCTAAGATATGTATTCAAATGTTTTTTTTCTTTCATGCATTTGTTTCTAACGCATTTATAAGATTATTTCTTAGAAACATAGGTCCCATGGTTTCCCTTATTTGCAATATCTAGTATATGTATGAGTCAAGCGGAAAAGGTCAGATAATGTGATGTTAGGAAAATGAACCCTTAGAAATGTATTTTAATGCTTTTTTATTTCATGCATTTGTTTCTAACGCATTTATAAGATTATCTCTTTGTTGCTTTGTATGTCCCTCCCCCCAGTATAACCCCTGCTTTCACTATATTTGATATCAGCATAACTTGTGGAGGAGATGGGGAAAAACAAGTCGTTTAAGGATACAGGTGGACCTGTTGCAACAATGAGAAGTACAAGGTCATGTTGAAAATGAGCTTTACAACGTTGGTGGGGGGGTAGAGGGGGAAGGATTGGGTGGTGGGGGGGCAGGGGGGAGGTAGGGAAGGGATGTGAAGGGTAAACAAAGGAGGAAGTTGCAATGCTTGATAAGAAATGTACGCATTATCCTACCCATGTAATTGTAACCCCTCTGTACAGTATGTTCACAAAAAAAATTAAATTAAATTAAAAAAAAAGAAATGTACTCATTATCTTGCCCATGTAATTGCAACCCCTCTAGTATGTTCACAAAAAATTAAAATTAAAATTAAAAAAAAGATTATTTCTTAGTTGTTTTGTATGTCCCTCCCCCACAGTATAATCCCTGCTTTTACTGTATTTGATGTCGGTATAATTTGTGGAGGGGAAGGGGAAAAACAAGTCGTTTAAATAAGGATACAGGTGGACCTGTTGCGACAATGAGAAGTGCACGTTGTCATGTCAAAAATGAACTTTATAACTTTGGTGGGGGGGGGAGGATTAGGTGGGGGGGATGGGGAAAGGCTGGGAAGGGATGGGAAGGGGAAACAAAGGAGGAGGCTACAATGCTTGATAAGAAATGTACTCATTATCTTGCCCATGTAATTGTAACCCCTCTGTATGGTATTTTCACAATTAAAAAAAAAGAAAAAAAAAGAGAGAAAAAAAAAGAATGAAAGGTGGCTAGAGGTGAGCCAGATCAAGAAGCATTGTATTCATTTGTATTGATTTGTTGAATGGTAATTCCTTTGTACAACTACTTACAGATAATAAAAATGTAATTTAAAAAGTCATAGGTGTAGCAGCGATCATCAGAGGGACCTCCAGCCTTGTTAAAGGGACACCTGCTCCATTCTTAAAACAGTAATTTTAATGTGTAAAAATAAATTTAATAGATAATATAGAGGTCCTACTACAGCCCAAAGAGTTCACTTATATTCTTTCTACTTTTCACAAACACCTAAAAAGTAGATATTTCCCCCATTATGAGATTAAAAAACACTAAAAATGAAATAAATGGCAAAACTGGTAAGCTGTGAACAAATTCTCTAGGTTATTAACTTTGCAACCAATGGTATTTCCATAGTTTTAATAAATACAACATAAAATTTTGATAAATCTTAAGGTTTTATAAAATATTAATTATAGGGGCCAGCTAGACCAGAAAGCATATAGAAATTTAGCACCACTTTTTAAACACTTTTCTGAATCTAAAATTGCTTCAAAATTACAAGTACTCTAAAAGTTGTTATTAAGAGGTTATTTAAGGTTACTTTTCCACTGTAATTTGACACATAGGAATAAGAAGATCACCTTTGATGGCACAGAAACAAGAGGATTCCTGGTTTAGAAGAAACTAGAGACCAACTAGTTCTTGCCAAACGCCTGAGAAAGGTACTAGAAGCACCTAGCAACAAAAGAAGATTATCATAAGTGCAAAATACTTAGGTATTGGCATCAAGGTATGGGTGGGATGGTGAGAGAAGGGCGGGAAGAAACAGCAATAAGGAAAGAGCCCTTGGGATGCAATTGTTAGAGCAAGACCCGTATTTACATTCCTTTTGGCATTTCCCAAGGGAGACCGTTGAGAAGATTAATGTAAAGCAGTGCGAAATCACACAGTTAATGTGAATTTAAAAAAAACAAACAAGATTCTATATGTTCTTCTTACAAAAAAAACTAATTATCTAACCACCTACAACTCCCAGTGGGAGTTGGGGTGAGAACAGAATAATGTATTGCCCATAAAGCAGGCCAGAGAACAGCAGCGGATGCACTGGGCAGTTCTCATTATGTTCCCTGGGCCAACTGAATATTTAAACTTTGAGAGAAGTAAGTGTCAAACATACTAAGAAGTGACAGCAAGCACTGTAAGAACATAAAAAATTTAGTCATAAGGTACAATTTCCTACACTGTTGAATCTTACATGTTGTCACATTGAAGGTTAAAAAGATAATGACATGCTTGAATGGATTTTGGTACCCAGAAAAGTTTACACTTACTGGTATTAGAGAAATAAATTACATTGATTTAAAGCAATAGCCAGAATGTGATATTTGTGGCGTCATTCTTCAAATGCTAGGGTGTTCTAGCTAGTGATTTTTTTTTTTTGGTCCAGTCGTGGGGCCTGAACTCTGGGCCTGGGTGCTGTCCCTCAGCTCTTCAGCTCAAGGCTAGCACTCTGCTTCTTGGGCCACAGCGCCACTTCCGGCTTTTTTCTTTTTGCTTTATGTGGTGCTGAGGAATCGAACCCAGGGCCTCAGGCATGCAAGGCAAGCGCTCTACCACTGAGCCACCTTCCCAGCCCTAGATAGTGATTTTTTAAAATAAAAAACCCCACAAATTTGTCCTCTTAACATTTTTAAGTATAAAGCGGTAATTATTAGCAATGTACATATGGCTTAACAACATCTCTCTAGAACAACTCTTTAAAATAGCTTTCTAGAATAGCTTTCTAGAACTTTCTCATCTTGCATGGCTGAAGCTCTGTAACTATAGGTATGCTCCATCTCTCTCTGCCACAATCCTCACAGTCTCTGTGCTGCGATATTACTTCTGTATTTGTGTTTTTACGAGTGGGTTTTCAATTTTGCAGAATGTCTTTGAATTTCACCTTTGCTGTAGCATAGGTCAGGATGATCTGTTTCTTTTAAAGCACTTGGATGTATACACAACATTCTCTCCATTCATTAACAGACATTTACATTACTTCTACACCTTAGCTCTTGCAAATAAAACTACAATGAGCATGAATTTGAAGGTAACTCTTGGAGATATTCTTCTTTTATTATTATTTTAAAATTAAATTAAATTATTTTTTATTTTATAAAGGTATTTTATTCAACTTGGAAAAGGAGTCCAAATCCCTGGTTGTTTTTCTTGGGCAGGGGGGAGAGGAGGAGGGAAGCTGAGGTGGTCAGGAAGTAGAAGAGAGTCCCTAACTCCTAACCCAGAGGTAAGGTATGAGCCACCTCAGGTCCCTGCCTGGGGAGGAGAGAGATGGGCTGGGGTTGGGCATGGAGTTCAGGTCCGGAGGAACACCAGGTAAGGAGGCCTAACACATAGGCTGCCACTAATTTCTGTCCCAAGAAGACATGGAGGACTTGTGGCAGCTGGCTGCCCAGTTCATCCTGGAGTGAGAGCAGCAGGAAGGCCACAGAGACGATGCCCGTCAGCAAGAAGAGCAGGAAGGAGCTGGTGGCCAGTTGCTGGTGGGAGTTGTCTTGTAACTGTCTGGTGGGCAGTGGTGCTGTCCAGGCAGGTGGTCCTGGGTGGGCTGCTGGCTCAGGCTGTCCTTGAAGCTCAAGAAGGTGCGCTGGGGCCCTCAGTACGCAGGTGATGTCCTTCGGTCCCACCACTGGGCCCTCAGCCCCTTCCTCGGACAACTCAATGCGGAAGCCATCCAGGACATCACAGTGGCTGGGAATGGGGGCCACATGGCGAATCACAATGTCAATGCAGGACTGAGGCTTTACGCACCCTTCTGCGTCAAACACCGTAGATTTGGCAGGTGCTGTGCACAGAACTCGGAAGCGGAGCACAGTTTCCGTGGGGTTGTAGAGGGTCAGCAGCTGTCGGGGTCCGCTCCTTTGATCCGCTCTGAATACTAGATCCGGTGGAAAGACGAGCACCGGGACCAGAGGTCCTGAGTGAGGAGGGGTGCCCCGGGACCCCCACCCAGGGGCCCCTGGACCCACCAGCTCCTGGTCCTGGGGCGCCCCGCGGTGCATGCAGGCTCTGGGCTGTAGGACATCCCAGGGCAGAGCTCAGGGGCCAGGGCCTGGAGTCCTGTGGTCAAAACACCTGCCAATCAGCTTGTAGCCAGACTAGGGATGCCATCTTCCTGAGAGCCTCTCCGCCGTAGTCTCAAGTTAATTTCATTTTAAAGATGCTGTACAAAGGGGTTACAATTACATGAGCACGGTAATGAGTCCATTTCTTGTTGAGCATTGTTCTTCTTAAGGCTTTGGAAATAGTTACGTTTTTAAATGTTCAAGGATCTGGTTTCCTCATTGTCCAGTTGGACCAAGAGTATGCAAGTGTTGCAATTTCTCTACAACTTCACCAACACCTGTTTTTTTCTTTTTAGATGCAGTTTCCTGGCCATCCTAATGCGTGTGAACTGGTTCCTTTTTGTGGTTCAGTTTGGAAGTTCCCCGATGATGAGTGATGCTTGAGTGTGTTTCCGTGTTTGCTAGCCACTTATGTGTCGTCTCTGGAGAGATGTCTTTTCACATCTTTGTCCAATAGGCTTTTTTTTTTTTTTTTGGTTACTTGACAATGTCAAATGTGTTCTACCTGTACAAATATGTTCTCCTATCCTGTAGACTGAATTTCTCTAGATGGTTTCTTTTGCTTGGTTGGTGGTTCCAAGCTTGATGTGCTACTATTAGTCTGCTGTTATTTTAATCCTGAGTTCAATATCACAAATCATTTTCTCTGTTTCTTTGTGAGGTTTCATAGCATCAGTTTCCATGTTAGGTCTTTAATCCACTTTTAGGTTAACTGTTTGCACACAGTATAGTGCAAAAAATGCATATGGGGACATTGGTAAGGATTGCACTGAATCTATAAATTCTTTTAAGTGATAAGAACATTTCAACCATATTAAGTCTCTCAGTTCATGGACAGGTATGCCTTTCTATATATGTATGTCTTATTAAATTTCAGCAACGATTTGTACTTTTCCATATTGTATTTTCTTTCCTTGGTTAAGTTTGCTCTTAAGAAACTTATTTTTTAAGTTGGTACTGTAAATGAGTTTATTTTACTAAATTCCTTTTTAATTATTTTTTGCTAATATTTTGAAATGCAAATACTGTTTTTTTTGCATCCGGCAACTTTGCATAAATTACTTGTTAATTCTATTTTTTTCATAGAATCTAGAGCTTTGTACATATAAGATTATGTCCTCTGTGGAGTAGGAATAATTTTGCTTCTCAGAACTTATTTTTCTTTTTAAAATTTCTTTTTTCTTCCTGCTAGGATTGCCATTACTGTGCTGAATAGAAGTGATGGTTAAATATCTTTGTCTAGATCTTGACCATAAAGGAAAAGCTTTTAGCTTTGCTTCATTGAGAATAAGGTTATATGGCATTTGTTGATGCTATATGACCTATAATGATCTATGATGTTTATTGTATTGGGTAATTTCCTTCAACTTTGGATTTGTTGCTTGCTTTTCTTCATGAAAGGTTGTAAAAAATTTTTTTCAAGTGTTTTTTCAGTTCTAATTGAGGTTGACATACAATTTTTATCTTTGTTCTATTAATATTGTTTATCATGTTTAGAGTTTGCATATATGAATCATCCCTGTATCCCAAGGATTACACTTACTTGATGATATTATGTGATCATTTAAAGCATACTGTTGAATTTTATTTTGTTGAGACTGCATCTGTACTAACCAATTTCACAATGACTTTCATTGTTTTGTGGTATCTTTGATTTGGCTTAGGCCTATTGTAGTTGTAGAATGAATTTGAGGCTGTTCCTTTTGCTTTATTTCTTGGAGAAGTTTGAGAAGATCTGGGTGAATTCAATTAGTGCCTGGTAGAATGTTCCAGAGAAAACATTTGTTCCTGTACTTTCTTTGGTTGGAAAAATTTAATATTACTGAATAAGTTTTCTTTCTCATAATAGATCTTTTCAGATTTCCCATTTCTTCATAACTTATTCTTGGTAAGTTGTAGGCTTGTATAGTTTCTTATAGTTTATACAATGTACAGGCATATAAAATAGTATTTTTATATTTTAATTTCTGTAGCACCAACTGAAATGTCTTCTGTTTTATTTCTGATTTCAATTATTTTAATCTCTTTGTCTTCTTAATGTAGTGAAGGCTTGATAATTTGCTCAGTCCTTTCAAAAAACCAATTTGTTTTTCAAATTGTCTCATAATCTCAATTATACTTAGTTATGTTCTAATCTTTCTTACTATTTTTCTCCCTTCGAAAACTTTAGGTTATTTGTCATTTTCTAGTTTCTAGTTGTCATTAGGTTGTTAATTTGATAATGCTAATTTTTCAAAATTAGCATTTATTACTAAAAGCTCTTAGTATTTTTATGCTAAAACCATAATTTGGCATGTGTTTTTTGTGTCAATATATTGTTAATTTTCTTTTTGATGCCTTTTTGCCTCAATTGCTTTGAATGAGATCTTCTTAGTCCATACATAGTTTTAATTTTGTATTCTGATTGAAATTTCTAGTTTCATTCCATTGTGAAAAGATACTTCTTGAATTTGTTAACTCCTTTTCTATTGCCTAATATGATATATTGTTATGTGTACATCAAACTGTAGTAAATTGCAATCTAGTGAAAGTAGGGAGATGGTAAGGTCATTTGTGTCATTTCATCTTATTGATTGAATATATCTTTAAAAGAGAAGTTCCAGGCAGTGGATGTTCCCAATTGTCATTGTCTGGGCTTTATTTGTAACATTTCTTGAATTCACATGTTATTGTTATTCTACCCCTGAACCATAAGCATTTAAACAACTCCTGTATCTTTGCTTGCGTTGGTTTGTGCAACATGAGTGATCTCTGCATTCTAATTCAGCTCAGTCGAGGCAAAGGAAAACAAATTTTTCAAATTGTGTCCAGTACTTTAACAGAAAATTACCTTCTTTCTTTTGTATGAAGTTCTACATACTCCTAGAGTTGTTTCCAGATAAAATCTGATTTTGATTATTCTTACTAAATGTATCCCCTGAAAACTAGGTTAAAACAGAAAGTAAAGAGATACAATGTGAACAGTACCCAAATATACAAGTTTAAAGCCACTTTGGCTCAATGTGAAAAACTGATTATAATGATTTGTTGTACCAGGCTTTTAAATACATGCTTTTGCAATGGTTGTCCCTTCACTCATTGAGATGAACTTTGACCAGCTACTTGGTGTCTAGTCCCATGTACATACTGTACTAAGCCCTGACATCTTTCCAGTTTGGGTCTCTGAAAAGACACAAGCTGTCTGATGGGAGGACTCAGAATCCACTGACTGAAAGAATCCTTGCAGCTTCACCTGGAAACAGGGAGGAGGCAAAGCCATAAAAATGAAGAATCCATACAGTTTGATCTTCGTATCTGGCTCTGAAAAGTGATACCTTCAGTGCTTGATACTCCTCAGTGTAGTCTGACTCTAGGCCTTTGCAAATACATACCTGCTTTATCTGTAATTCTGAAGATTTCTCCTTACTTCCTTCTGCTGAATTTTTTTTTCTGTCTGGCAGATTTCACAGCTCCAATTTTCTCAGAAATCATCATTCCTAGAAATCTTTAAACTTTTCATGAGATAAATCAGTTTTCCCTCCCTGGTCTCCATAGCAATTTCATACTCACCTCTCCTGGCACTTACCTTATTTGCTTTAATGTTATGAATAGTCTCAATTTATTCTGCTAGATATGAGTCCTATCCAAGAAGACGCATGTCTCATTCACCTTTCCCCTTTTTCCCTTTAGCATTTAAAACAGTATGATGTGTCGCTTTGAAGGTTCTCAATGAGGAAGCACTACCCATGGAGCATAGCACTGAGCCTTGTGCTTCAACTTGTATAGCCATTGTCACATCTCATCTGAATACTAACCTTGCGAGTTTTCCACAGGAAGAAAGACTTGAGAATGGTCAATATTTGCCCAAAATACGACAGCAACAGATGGATCCAACCTTAAAACCTAAAGTTTTTTTGTTACCAGGTAATATAATAAATAAAAGATGAGTTAATACTAAAATGTAATGTCCTATCTTAATCACTTACCAGACACTTAACTAAGCTAAAGTAATTATCAAGCTTTCTTTTAGATTTAAAATTTTTCTTCCTTATATTCATCCACTATTGCAGATTAATGTTGCCTTGACTCTCAAAGTCAAAAGCTTCAGCATTTAAGGTAAAAGCATTAGGAACACTGTGAAAATTTTCCTTATTATGGAAATTTTCAAACATCACTAAGATATATCTAGATTTTTTTTCTTATTCAATTTTAAAGGGACACTCAGAGATAAGTATTTAGATGGGGAAGGTAGCATAGCTATTAAAGGGCAAAAGTCAGACATATCTCAGATTTTTCTCTTGCAACTAACTGCCAGAACACAGTGGAACACTTTTATACAGAGTTCTTAAGGGAAGTAAATTTTGAACTCAGAATTACATTCCCTGCCAAGATACCATTTCAATATGAAGTCAATTAAACTAGAAGACAATGTCAGATATACAGAAACTAAGAAAGTGCATTAACCAAGAAATTTCTGTGGAAAAGTTGCTGAATGATTTACAGTGCCAATAAAGAATGATGTAAAACAAATAAGGATGTAGAGGTGGTTGTGAGGATAAATGAAATGCATTAGAACAAATTCATGAGCATTAAGTTTAAAGTATTGCAAATAGGGTGATAAAACTAAATACAAAAATAAATTGGTAAGCTATATCTAAAGTCCCACTTTCTATAATTTTGGTTTTTATGTTTTGTTTTATTGTGTCAGTTCTGATGCTTGAACTCACAGTCTGATCACTGTTTTGCTGACCTGTTTTGCTCCAGGCCAGTGGTCTGCAACTTGCATCATAGTTCCACTCCTGTTTTTGTTTTGTTTTGGTTTGTTTTTTTGGTGGTTAATTGGAAATAAGAGGCTTACAGACTTTTCTGCTGGCTTTGTACCATGGTTCTCAAATCTCACCTTTCTAGGATTATATTCTTGAGCCACTAGTATGGGATCAGTTTTCATAGTTTTAAAC